TCCCACTATCTTTTGGGTTTCCAAACCTACATATTACACCTTTTAACCTATTGTTTTGGAATTTAATATTAAAAAAAGGGCTTGTTCTGATATAATGCTACTTAAGTTGATAACTCTTAATTTTTTTTATCATTAGTTGAAGTCCATAAAAACGATTCCAATTCCAGGTCATCAAGAGTAAATTATTCAGAAATCACAGGCCAAAATAGTTTTATTGTTACTCTTGAAAGATATACTTTGACTCCAATGGTCGCATATACTGTTGAATAAACAAAAAGTGATGTAATAGTGAACGTTTCAACTAAAAGAAATATAACAATAGAAATTAGCTCAAGAGGTATTATGTGTCAATTTAATGGTACCAAAAAGATTTAGAATCATAGAAAAGATGCTTAAATATTCATCTCATGTAAAGATTTAGATACTTAATATAACTGGAATCAGGATCCTGATATTGAAATCAATGTCGAGTGTGTTGACTTTAATAGGAATTCACAATGTGTGGATTTATAAAACAAAATAATTCAAATTAATAAAACTGATACTTTCCAAGCCATTCCCAAATACACCATAATTCCGTATACTATTTAAAGTTGGACGGTAGTTGCTACAAAGCGATCACTCTTATATCAATTTGAATAAAAATTGGTATATATAGATGAAAATTTTGAATTATTGAATGTCACCCACAATTAATGGTATTTAATGAGACCAGTCAATAACTATGAAAATTTGGAGTTCATCATTAATATTCCTTTTCAAAATAGGTAGTATCTTCTAGAATTTCAAGTTGCTATCATTTATAATTTCGAACTCATAAAGATATTGCAATCTGAATACTTTTAATTCTAATTTAATATATTTGATTATTATTAGAAATTTTCAGAGGGAAATAAAATAAATTTGAAATTTTTGGCGTAGTTCACTAATGAGATCATACCTTGCCAAGAGGATTTATAATTAACGGTCAATTTACCTCTTTCTTGTATAGTGAGCTTGAGTGAATAAATAGTTCAAGCATTAAAACCTTTAAAGATAATTACAAATTGCCATTTTTCAATTAATGCTCCATTTACTTACCAATTAAGATAT